TTTATGTGTATGAATTTGTTGTTGTGTGAGTTTATGTTCACCACATGCATGCAGTCGCCCACACAGATCAGAAGAGGGTGACAGATTCCCCTGGAAATGGAGTTCTAGGCAATTGTGAGCCTCTTTATTGTTGAGTGCTGGGAATTGAACTCTGCAAGAGCAGTAAGTGTTTTCAACTGCTAAGCCATCTCTCCCACCCCTCAAATTCATGATTTGGGTCATAGGATCAGCATATATGCAGATTTCCTAGTGTGATGTTTAATCTTAACTGTCAACTTGGTGAAATTTAAAATTACCATGGAAACAAACCTCTGAGAATGTCTGTAAAGGAGTTTCTAGATTGGGTTGATTGAGGTGGGAAAACCACCCTAAATGTAGGAGGCAACATTCTCTAGGCTGGAGTCCTGGGCTGAATAAAAAGGAGAAAGTCAGTTGAACACTAGTATTCACAGCTCTCTGCCTCCTGACTGTGGATGCAATATAACCAACCACCTCCCACTACATGACTTTCCCACCATAATGGACTATATTCTCTCGAACTATAAAACAAATAAACCCTTCCTTCCTTCCTAAAGTTGCTTCTTGTTAGATGTTTGATCATAGCAGCAAGAAAAGTAAGAAATCTGGGCTAGTTCAGTTAGTTGGCTTCGTGCTCCTTCCTGTTAATAGTACATTTTACTCTCAAAACTGTCCTTGTCTGAACAAAAAAATCAAAGTCATCCTACTCATAAAGGAGATACATAAACTTCTTCTTATTCAGGCATACTGACCAAGCTCTTGAGGACTTCAGTGGAATGAGTACTGGTAAGGTGACAGTCATAATTAATTTTAATACCTACTGGCCAGCACTGCAAAGTGAACTGTTATAAACAATTCATCAGCAAAGGAGCAGGGCAAGTGTCCCAGAAGCAGTTGCCACAAACTTCAGATATCCAGCATCGAGTGTAGAACCTAAACCCTAACCACGTTACTTGCACAATGAAAATTTGCATGTGATAAACAGATACAACAATTCTTTCTACATGTACTCTATATGAAAAGTTGAGACCCAAATTCAACTGAACACAGACGAGAGTACAGGAAACAAAAGCTGTCCTTTTGTCCTGGGAAACTACAAGAATGTGGAGTCAAAACTTCACAACAACATCTGTGTTCTGAACTCTCAGCAAAATGTCCACCAACTATGCAAAACACTAGCTGGTGAAGCATGCATCCATGTGTGTAAGCATCATGTAAACATTCTGCCTACAAACAAGTTTAGGAGAAACTGTCCTCCTAAATCACAGGAGTCATCCTAATTTGTGTTGTGCTTGATGACACTGATAGGGGTCTAGAGCTATGACGGACAATGACTTACAACTTTCTGTCAGGTATGAACAGATATCCTATCTTCCCTATGTCCTTTTCATTGTACATTCCTCAAGTTCAAATTTTTTCCTACTTTCTAACTGTATACTTAACAAACAGAAATGATATGAAGCAAGACTTGAAATCTGGTATCAATGAGGCAGGCATGGTAGTACATTAATCCCAGTACTTGGGGGGGGGGGCTGAAGCAAGATGATCTTGATTTCAAGGTCAGCCTAAGCTATATAATTAGATCTTGTCTCAAAAAAGTGAAAACTGGTGAACAGAGGGAGCTGATAAAAAAGATGATAAAAACCCCTTAATTCCTAGAGTGATTTTATGACATCATTCAAACCACTTTTAAGAGTAAAAAGGGGTACGCTTGATCATGGAGATAAGTCAGCAGGAATAAACTGGAACTATCACAGACAAGCTAGAAGGTCTGGTCACCCTTCTCATTCATATCCGGATACAAAAAGCTCTCTTGGTGTGAAGAGGCAACTCTGCTCCCATTAGATCAACTATAAAGTCTTCTCTCTTTCAGGCCAGGCAGAGTAATAACAAAGTGGCTTTCACTCAAGGCTGCTAGACCCCATCCCACACACCAAGTAGAACTGGTCCTGTCCCCCATCCCACTTAAGAAGGTAAGGGGCTAGAGAGATGGCTCAGCAGTTAAGAGGTTACGAGCACTGCCTGCTCTTGCAAAGGAGCCAGGTTTGGTTCCCAGCACCCAACATGGTAACTAACAATTATATGCAACTACAGGGGATCTGACACCCTCTTCGGGCCTCAGTGGGCACTGCACGACATGGGTTCACTTATACACATGCAGGCAATACACTCATACACATAAAAATAGTAAATTAATTTTTAAAATAGAAAGTAAGCGATACATTAGAACATCCACCCAGGCCAGGCAGGGCAAGCCCCAGGCCTGGAGTCTATTTTCTCTTAAAGGAGCATTTTACAACAGAGATGGCCACCAGGTAAGGGTATTCAGACACCAGACACAGATTTAATTACAAAAGTTAAAATATCAGATCATTGATGCCAGAGCACACATCAAAACTGGGCAGAGCACCAAAGCCAGCTTTCCTGCAAAACACATTCTCCCAGAAGGGTGACTACATCTGTCTTCAACTACAGTTAACAACTTTGGTTTCTTTGTCTTTTTTCTGAGATCAGCCATACTAAGACTTTGAAAAGTATAAGAAATAATGTTTTCCTCCAAAGATCACACCACCCAGGTTCTTTATAGTCAAGTTCATTTCATGCTTCTTGTTCAGACAGGTCAAACATTACCCATGTTTTTATTAAATTTAGTTCTGAGGCTGGTAAATATCAATTTACTAAAATATTCTCCTGCACATTCATAACAAAGAAAAACAAATTTGTGATCTAGTTGCAATATAGCATATAATGTACAACAGTGTGAGAGCAAAAAAGCTTTAGCTGGCTTATCAAATGTTCAGAATGACTTTGATTTCCTCAACATCACAGTGCTTCCTAAAGATTCACTATCAAAAGCTACCCCAATGTGTGATGGAGGCTATGCTAAAGCCCATGTCTGGGGCAGGCAAATCATCATTAGAGTCATGAAATTAGCTCGAAGTCTGGGGGCAAATGGTCAGAGAACCAGCTGTCAAGGAGATATTGAAACCAGTGAATTCACGCTGGTGCAGATTAGACTAAAGTCCTTGCAGCTGGGAGACAAGAGTCCAAGGTGTCATTTATACATAAGGGCAAAGAAAGCTAGTGCTATCCCCACCACCAGAAATGGTAAGGTTCTTTTAAGTTCAAAGGCATTTTTGTTAGTGCAACTGTTTAAACTGTCTTGCCTAACCACAATTGAGGACAAAATGTGCCAATGTTGTAATGAAACAGTTTTTGCTGACTTTTTAAATGTTAAAAAGAAAAATTAAAACTAGTTGGACTGCTGGATAATAAATATCTCCTTTAGGGGGTCAAAATTATGTTGTTCCCATCTTTCACCCCACTGTGCTCCACCTCCCAACAGTGAAGTAGATAGTCTCTAAAGAATACAATGCCTCTTTCGGCCTGGCTTCTTGTCTGCTAGGGGCGCCATCTGTCCCACACTATATAAACAATCTCTGCAGGAATCTTCTGATGAGCAAACAGATTAGCGAGCTCCAGATTTTCACACCATTAATAATCACCCCATCAGATTCGACCTCTTGCTTTAATAACTCCAAAGACAAACTTCGGAACTGAGCTTGCTTTGTAAGTTGAGTGATATTTGAAAGATAACCTCTTGGCACATACAGCCATCTGTTGAGAGAGAGGAGGGAGAGAGAGAGAGAGAGAGAGAGAGAGAGAGAGAGAGCGAGCTAAGAGCTGACACTCTAGGCAACAGAAGACATAAACCCTTGAGGGATTAGGTGAAACAGTACAAAGAAAATCATATTTAGAAGATAAATACACCAATTTCACCAATTCTTATAGATTACCGCTGACTCTAAAATATTTATCTTCTAAATAACAAATTACAGAAAAGAACTCAAGAAAAAGGCAAGTTTTACACTTTGACAAAGGCATACGTACGAGAACTCAGAGTCTGCATGACTCTAGAAGAACGAAAGTAGAAATCTTATCCAGAAAGGCGAAAGGCCTCGGGTGAAGTTTGCCTCCCTCCCACCTCTGTAGGTACGATCACTGATGCGGTCTTCTCCAAGTTTAACATTGACTGAACCCTTATAGCTCTAATCGTGAGCTCACTGTGTTGACTCCAAAGGTTCCCAACTCCAAAAGAAATAACTGACCCTGTAAAGGTGCTCCTAAAATTGATCGTGTAAACGAAAGGCAGCTGTGCACTGCTACCGGAGAAGACAAGACATAGGGAGCCAGCGCTCTGCAGTTGCACGTCCTCCGAAACGTCTACGCCTGAATCTGCAGCCCGGGTTTCCTCCAGGGCCCAAGATCCAGCAGAAGATGCTCACAACACATTCCAAACCAGAAAGCAAATGACGCTCCTCTCCCTCGCGCGATGCTCACAAGAACCCCCAAGTCCCAGCTCCAGACGAATCACCAGGTCATCAGACGTGTCCCGGCGCCTCTCCGCGCCTCTTCCGAAGCAGAATGTCAAATGAATGACCGCGCCAGGGCGCGAGCGACCAAAACAAAGCCACCTCCCGCCGCCCGCTACCTGGCGCGAGCGCCGGGCGCCGGCCCCAGTCACCTGGGCTGGCGGCCGCGGGGAACCCGGCCAAGGCGGGAGCGCGCCCCGCAGTCTCCGCGACCG